TCGTCGTTGTTTGGCAACCACAGGAACAATGTAACTGCCAGTTTTGGGTTTGTTTGCCCAACTCCAGTCAAAGGTAGCGTGAAAAGGAGAGGAGAAGCCAGTACACAGAAAGAATTTTCATTGTTTTTCAATTAATGTATAAATTATCTTAACAATATGCATGCAGTGTGACCAGTCTACCAGAATCAGGATAAATAGGCAACAGTTGCTACTGTGTGACCATGTAACGGAAATATAGGCCAAAATAAGGACGAAATTAAATCAAAATATTTAGTTTTTTAATTGAAACTAGGGAACACAAATTAATATTTTGTATGAGATCAGATTAGAGTACTTAAAAAATATTTAAAAGTACTATAAAATTAACTTTATATAATATATACTTTTTGCCGTGTTGTAGGCATCTTGGCAAAGCATCAAATTGTTAATTGTGTGTAACAAAGTTATGAGCTCAGCTTTGCGACCGCCCTTCCCCCATTCGACAGTCCACTGCGGTTGAGCCTGCCAAAAAGAAGCGTTGTCGAGCCTGTGCCAAGAAATTTTAAACCAGTTCAAACAAGGTTCAAAACAAGCCATAAACAAAATAAAAAAAGGAAGAAATAAAAAAAAGAAAAAAGTAGGGAATGAAATGGGAGTGAGGGGGGCGGGCCAACCAAAGACGTAAGAAGAGACATAAACAAGCGTCCGGCAGTCGAAGCGAAAAGAACAAAGGAACGACAGCGGCAGGGCAGGAGGAAAATCCAAACTAGGTGTGTACTTAAATGGCAAAAGAAATGCGAGCGGAAACACATAAAGCACGCCAAGGAGCAGCGGGCTGGGAAGCCAGGATCTGCGTCCTGCAGACAAACTTCCGCTGGAGGAAATTTTATGCAGGGCACGGCAAAAGGATGCGCAGCGCTTAAATAATACATGGATGCCATGTTGATCCTGCTTGGTTAAGGTGCGGTCGGTAAATGTCTTATAAGGAAGTTTGCCGTCCTTCCCTTAAGCCCCTAACCGCTGCCCGCCCGTTTCCCCCCATATCGGAACAATAAAGCTACGGCGAATCCAACCCCGGAGAAGGACGCAGACTGACCGTCTGGCCGGGTTAATTGTAAGCCATTGTGAGGCAAGTGGTTTGGTTTTGGCTGGCGTGCATTGTGGCAGGGCTGGCTTATGAAATACGAAGCTGCAAAGTTAATTTCTGTCCTCAGTACTTGATGAGATTGGTGGGTTGAATACGAGTGCGTATTACGTAAACATTACCAGCTTGTATCAATTACATAGGATGACAGTTATCCTCTAATATAATCCATTTAAATGTTTTTTATTGAAAATAAAAGACGACCTATACCCATATCATTATCCCATGCAATAAATAATACATGTATTCCTGAAATTGGATTTAAATGCATATTACAAAAGTATTCTTGAAAAATATATTGATTCTTAAATTCTATCATCAATAATATACACCCAAAAAAAAAATCGCCCTTAAATCAAGAAATTCGCCTTTAAATCAAGAAAATCGCCTATGATTTTCATCCAACGGCGACTCACCTTTATTTTAAATAAATAATTTTCTTGAATTTATGGTTTGCCATTTCTGGAAATAATGACAAATTTTTCTTAAATGTATGGTAAAAAACCTTAAAATTAAGGAAAAATTTATTAAAATAAGAAAAAAAATATTTATGATGTAAGATTACATCATTTTACACCTTACATTTGAGGAATTTGGTTGGTTTTGTATACCAATGTTGAATTTTAAATGGATAAAACCGTTTCTAATTTTAATGGCAATTATTACTACAGTCTGAAAATTTTTATATTTACCTGAATTTATTAAAGATTTATTTTATATAAATACTTTTTATAAACATATAAATAAATATAACAAATGGAAAAATCCTTACCTCAGACAACCCCGGCGTGAACTCGAACCCGCAACTGCTCACACCATAGCCAGACGTCTTAACCATTCGGCCACGCGTGCTTCTTGTCATACAATGACTAAAGAGGGCTAAGGTGCTTTTGGTCCAGCTTTACGCATACAAATAACGTTTATTCTAATCTAAACCTTTTTAACAACCGTTTAAACAATTTGGTAAATAGAAAAGTGAAACTAATAAGAATAAAAATTACATAAATTAAAAAAAAAAAGAAAAATAAATAAACAAAGGGTACACTTGCCGTGGCGTGGGCTCGAACCAGGTACTTTTGTTCGATTGTTTATTGACCGGACGTCTTTACCAGCTAGACCACCATCAAAATGTATAAAAAAAGTCACTTTCTCTTAAAATATGGGTATTTCTTTCCTAAATTTAAGTAAGAATTTACCATTATTTCAAGAAAAAAAATCAAGAAAAATTCGCCATTAATTGAAGAAAAAGTGGGATTCTTCCTCTTCTTCATTACAAAAAAAAAAAAAAAATTATGGCGAATTCCTTAAATTGTAGGCATTTTTTCTATAATCAAGAAAATATTTCTTAATTCAATGGCGTTTTGAAATCACGGGCGATTTTCTAATATTTATGGTGATTTTTTTTTTGAGTGTATTTGTACTTTAGATGTTAAAAATTAAGTTATGATTCAATGCTTTTGAAAGTATTATAACTTAAGAAGAAATAAAGGTAACGTTATTTGTAAAACCTAGCAAATATTTATATAACACTGTATTAAAAAGGAAAAGATTTATCAAACATATTTGTAATCCCCTATTTCTAAAACCGTTTGACTAATCTTTATGGGGAAAAACTTTCAATTACCCAAGAGTTGCATTTAAATTTGGGCATAATTATTCACCCAATGCACTTGATTCACTGCCCATGAATCCCTGCAGCCGGAAATCACAGCGGGGTGAAAGGCGGCGTGCCCAATTGATGACCCTGACCATAGTTCTCTGGTTTACAGGTCCGCTGACGCTATTCCTGCGCCCGAAATCGAAATGGACGTGGGAAGTGTGATTACTGGAGCATGAGGGGCATTCATGAGCCGTGTCTGGGTCAATTAGTCAGCTAACCAGCGAAAATGTTGAAGGTGAGGATGGGGATCCGGATGGGGATCGTGACGGGAATGGAAATGGTAGGTGGTATGTGGGTGCCGGTGAAATTAACATTTGGATGCGTGCGAATTGCCGGCGGTTCATCGACTATGCAGGCGAAGCCGCAGACGCTAATCCCACATGCATAACGGAGGGTTCTACCACCCACCATTCCATTCCATTCAATCGGATTTCCCCCCACGATTTCGCACACTTGGCACGATTATGTAACCGTGGGGCTCAAGGACATTGCGATTGGTCAAGTTCCCGTTGTTTGCCATCCCGACCGACATCAAATGTCAGAGGCAGAGGTTTTGCGAATGCCAATATCGAATCGAGATGAATCAGTCAGTTAAGTGGGACAAACCACACCCATGCCGGAGCATCAATCAAGTGCAGAGAGGACCGAACGCAAATTAAAAGACAATTTATGCCAATGTCATCGCCGTTTAGATGTTTGTAATTAATTAGGCAACACGCCTCCTGAAATATGCATGAAAAATTATACCCCTCGCATACATGACAATTTCCCGGGAAGCGAAGCTCGATGCGTGTGTATGTCCACTTTGGAGCGAAATTAATGTCCATCCGTGTCCACAGAGCTTTGACCTCTATAACGCTGGCAATCGCTAGGGTGAGCGGTATATGTTTAACCCCCTTTTTTGGGTAGGTCCGCGTTCTTTTTTTATTCGTAAGCGGAAGAGTTACCGACTGTGGCATTACCCATTAGGCATTTTATCTTATTAACCTTTCCCTTTTTTGAGCAAGCATATGTATGGCTCATTAGTCCCACGGTTTTGAAAAGTCATGCTTCCTGCTAATTGTTCCTGCCTTAGTCCCTGATATCTCATCACTCGGTCACCTGAGCATTATTTAAATGAAGGCTAATTGTAGGCGGTTGTCGAAAAAAAGCGCTTTAATTAACGCTAAACTAAGTGATTCACGTGGCGGTGCACGGGAAAAAGAAAGATTGTAAATAATTAATTTAAAAAATGGCTATAGGACGTGTTTATAAATGTGATAAGCCTGTCATAAGTTTGTTATATGTATGACAGTTGTTGGAATTATTAGGTGTCGGGTTAAATGAGAACCAATTACTAAACTTCCATCGATCTTTAATAACTGATAAGTTAGTTTTAAATATTATATGAAAAATGTTTGTTGGTTTGGGGACGACAACAAAATTATTTGAAATATAATACGACGTCTATATAATTCTATATTCTATCCTTTTGTTTGCCATTATATGATTTATTTTATCTAAAAATTATTTTTAAACAATTTAATCTTTATTATGATTTAATGAGAACCAAAATGTGTGTTGGATCAAGGATCTATGAATATTTAAATTACTCTAAGTATATCATTTTGGTAGACTTGCCATTTTGATGAAAGAATCCCCCTCCTCAACTTTCAAATAAGTGATAAGAAATATTATGTATATTATCTTTAACGTTTTAATCTATGAAATGCTGAAGATAAGTAAGATGTCATTTGTTTTCTGAGTGTTGCTTCGGACAATGTGCAATCAGGGCCAAATGATCGAACCGGAAGTGGCACATCGACGGTGCTAACAAGCGCATTGACAAAATGGCGGCCGTTTGCCTCCGGTCATTTTGCATGTGGGTCGCCGGAGAAGAAGGAGAATAGCACAAACAACAATGGGCCAAGCCAATGATGTCAACAACATTTAACAACGGAAGCGGCAAGTAAACAGCCGTAGGGTATCGGGTAACGGGTAGCGAGTATTGGGTACCGGGTATATCGGGGTATCGGGTGGAGGAAATCTGGTAACGTCCTGATGGCTGTTCATTAACATTTAAATTTACGTTAAGTTGGGCACACGTTTGGCTGCATTGCAATTCATTTGCAGAGTCCTTTCGATACGCAGTCCACCTTTTCCGCTCCTCATTGCAGTTGCTCTTTGCGGATGGCTTTCGCCGATGTTTTTACCTCCTGTTCCCTGTTTTTTTTTACCTTTTTTTTTTTTGCATTTTCGGTCTGCTCCTTTCTTGCCTGTTTATATTTATGCCGCTTTTAGTGCAAATGAGTATACGGCTGACTTCGGTCAGACATTGTCGTTGCCGCTGTCGCCTGTCGCTCGCCTGTTGTTGATTTTAAATCTGTGCACTGAAAACGGCCAATAACAGGAACTGCGGAGCGAAGGAGTCGGCACAGTGGCCCGAGAACCTCAAGAATCTGCGAAAATATGATGCTTATTAGGATATAATAATAACACAGAGAATATTCCAACGTTCTCATCTTGAAAATGTTCTTAAAAATAGAACGACATTTTTAAATTGAAAATTTTTTTATTTTGCTGGGATCCAGTTGAGTTGGCAGTATTTGCATAGTATATCTCGACAAATAAACTATTAGTCCAGTCAGTAGTGAGTACTTTTCAAAAAGTTATTAAATAAACGCAATTTAACTTATCTCTTCTGACTAATGTTGAGAATATTGATACCAAAATGTACTTACACGGTTTTTAAGAACGAATGTTATCAATTCAAGAACAATGTTCTTGGATATTTCTCTCTGTGAAGGTTTGGTTGATTAAAGGTAGCAATTTAGCATGACAAAGATGGTAGGTTGCAGTTTTCTGTTTTGGTTACGAAAAGTTCTGAACATTTTTAGAACTGTTAAAATACTCCTAAAATAATTACACTTTTGATAACTAGTCAGGTTACAAAATTAACTGTTGTATTGTTTAATTGGAATTAAAAAGATTATTTTTTTGTTCAAAATATCTGTTTCTGGCTTAAAACCTTCAATCAATAAAAATGTTAACAGGCTAGATTTTAATAGTCCTATAATTTTACCATAATTATCCAATATTTTTAGAAACGCATTATGTCTGCTTTGAATATCGAACTTCCGCCCACTGTTAACTTCTGGTGGGGGCGACTTCACTTAGGCACTTTAGCAAATTGGCTGGCCAATTGAATGCATTATCAATTACGCTTCGCCAAACAGGCATTTAGACGGAGAATTATGAGTGGGTGGGTGCACTGAGATAAATTGCTGCTACGGTGGTGGTGCATTTAAAGTTGGGAGTTGGGTCCAGGGAGTTACGAGTTACGAGAACTGGAAGTGTGGGCACACGGCCTGCACACGTCGGCACAAAAGAAATGACTACAACTTTAATGAGCAGGCTTTCGTGACATAAGCGATGTCGAATTGGGGGCTCTTGGGCTCTTGGGCGGGTTATGGCTGGTTAGCCCGATTTGAAGTGGTGCCACCAGGACAATCCTTAGTGCCCGCATGAGTATCACTATACCCACTTCGCCTGGGGAATCCTTCTGTAACAGACCTACGCAGGCCACAGGAGTCGTAAAAAAGTTTTATGTTATTTTTATGGTGATGACAATTGCGTTGGCGTCTGTTTGTGTGCGAGAGTGTTATTGTTGCTTACTCAACATGCATTTATGCACACACAAAGGCACACAACCTCGTACAGAGTAACACAATCTCGTGTGAGCTTCCTTGTTTATGGCGCCCTCGCGTGCTGGCGATGCCAACTTTTATTCAAGAATCCGCTCCTTTTGGTTTAAGAGTCCCTATCCCCCTGCCCACCATCGCCCCGTCTCCCTCTACCAGTCGCCTGCTGTCTCTTTCTCCTCCCCAGTGCAAGTGTCAAATTATTGGCTGCAAGCGAAATCCATACAAATTCGATACACTTCAAGTGCACTTGCCGCCAGTTGCCAAAAAAAGTGCGAAGAGGAAGTTATTCTAGACTGTGGCAAAAAGAGTGAGATGGCGACAAGAGAGGGAGACGGCTCCGCGTTGCACCTGCGGTCGTTGTCGTTCTGAACACGCAGAGAAAAAATGTGGTTAGTTAGGGGTCTGCAGCTTTCCTTAAAGCCGGCATATAGAATAGCTCTGCCGGTTTTCTGTCGCCACACGAACAGTGTGGAACAGCGATCGGCACACACACATTGAGGAGCTGCGCTGTGCAAATTACTAATACCAACGAAAGAAAAAGGGACATTGGTATAAACTATATCAAGTTAATGGGGTTAGGCCTCAGAAATAACAAACTTGATTTTTTTAAGGCAGTAAAATAATGTTTGTACTCAGTCAACTTTTGAACTCCTAACTTGGAGAATGTTTTAAAAAAGGTTTCGATATATTTTGAATCCTTAAGTTCTAAGAACAAATCTTGTAAGACTTGTTATAATTCACAGTCTACTTTGAAACCTCTACAGATCATGTTTGATTATTTTGCAGGTGATCTCATTTATGATTTATTATTCTTATTACAATAAATATATTTAAAATTTTTATAAACCTTAATAGCTATGTTTAAAGAGTGAAGCCTTAATGTGCCGGGTAATTGCATTTTTTACATTTATATCCAAACTGGTTCCAAAATGAACCTTATTTTCCTCAGTGCACTGACAGTAACCATTGGCAGTGAGCAGGCAATTTCAGCATCGAAATCAGACAAGTCTGGTAACCGATACCAAACCCCCTTTGCTTTGGGGCAGCTGCCAAGCCAAAGCATTTAAACGTGCCACATTTGCATGACATCACAGATCCCCCTCCCCAATCTCCTCTCACCCCCTCGTTACCACTTGTCAGGCCAACTTTGCAATCTGATTTTGCGATTTTTGCTGCGCCTTCGGATTAGCACCTCTAAGCTGTTTAGCCAGTCAGTCGGCTACTGCAACTGCAGCCGTTGGGTTGCAACTTTTGTGGCAATCGGCAGATGTCTCCGCTCCGAGAGCCGTTAATCTCCCCATCGGAATTTATAAAGAGGATTTATAAAGAGCAAGTTAGGCTTAAATACACCAGAAGTTGGGCATGGTTAGACTAATTTTGGATGGGGGAGGTAGATGGGAAAGGGGTACTATGTTCCTACAAAGCTAAAGTCCTATTTTTGAATTCCTTAAAACTGGGTTACCAGTTTTATTTTATATTTATGTTGTAATACTAATGTTAATACCTATTTAAATTAAAACAGCTTTGTGAGTATACTTTTCAGTGTAGATGTTAATTTAGGATCAATGTAAGCTAGCTTGTGCTTTAAAACTTATAAATGATTTAAGCAAAATCCCCCTTGTTTAGTGGAGTAAAAAAGACCAGAGCTTTGAGCAGCCAGCAGAATTGAACAGACCTTGGGATCCGAGTGCTTTGGAAGGCTAACAACGCCCTCGACTGCTTTGGTTTGCCTTTGGACTGGGAAGTCTTGTTAGCTCGGCTCTATCGGCCCGTGGATCTTTGTAGTTCGAGCCCCGTTTTATTCGCTCTGAGTGGGACCTACCCTGTCCTATCCCAACCAGACACCCTCTTTGGGCCATTCTGTGCGCCATTCTGTGGGCTTGTCTGCAGTTGATGTCATTGTCATTGGCACTCGCTGGATGTGTGTTATCTTGGGGGCCAGCCACCCAAAGAGCGAACCACCAGGCCACCAACCAGCCAGCTCTTTATTATTATCCATTTTCGGTGGGAGTCGTGGCTAAAGCGCTCCATAATCGTTATGCTGCAAATATTATGGCAAATGACAGTCTTTGCTTGTAATCATAATTTTCGTGTTGCTACAGTTGGAAAGGGCACGCCCCCATTGGAATCCGCCGCCCATTTCAGCCATCTACGCCCTCATTTGCGTATGTGAACATAACATGTTTCCCCCAGCTTGTCACTTCCCCTCAGCCCCCCTGAGTTTCCCACACACTTTTCAGAGTTTTTCCCACACGTTTTCCGCTGCTTTTCCTTGTCGTGTCTAATAATATTGATTTGGTGGCAATTTTGTGGCGGCTAAAACGAAAGAAATTGCATTCGTTCGCTCTCTGGATGGCTGGCGCTAAAAGCGCCATGGGGCTTTCTGACTTTAAGGATGCACACCATCACCAGCCCCATCAGCAATTCCGAACCCAACACGTTACACGAGCACTCCTGAAAAACCCTGAATACCCCCACATATGCGAGCACTCATGTGCCAGGCTGAGCTAAATTTCTGCCTGTAATTTATACAAAAAGCGACTTCAGAGAAAGAGCTTTGTTTCCAAATGAACTCGAGGCGGAGTCTTATCTAAGTAAAATGTGCCGAATGATGTGTGCTCTATAAGAACTTATATTTAGGATATATATATATATTATTTTAAATCACTTTATGTATTTAAATTCATTTCGTTCTAAGATATGAGTCAAACTGTTTTCAAAATTAGAGCAGATGGTCAAATAATATACAAAAAACTTTAAACTAAAAATATAAACATTTAATTTAATGCATCACTAATATGTTAGGATATGGACAAGCTGTCAGAAAATCAAAGATAATTACTTTCGAAAAATATGATCGAATTCGATTTGACTTTGAATACTTTTTTATACAACTTTAAAAACTATTAGTCAATATTGTTAAATTATCTTAACCGTTAAAGAAATAAAATATTTGAATACTTTTTCTTATATTTAAATAAATAAATATTAATACTACAACCGAATTTGAATATCGAAATCGTATATCAGCATTTCAGGATAGATTCGGAAATATAGTTTCAAGAACAAGGTTTTGCTAATGTCTAGAATAGAGTAAAAACTTAGAACATTTAATTAATAACTTTTAAGAGTATTGAACTGAATTGAAATATCCTTAAAAATATTTAATTCCAAGAGTTCCGACATACTTCTATCTCATGAAGATAGTAATCTAGAGGGTAGCAAAGTGGTCATCAATCCGGCTGTACTTCCGTGCTGTGTGTTTACCTTGCATGTTGGCCAAAACCCCCCGACAGTCCCCTTCGCTCCGGGACTCGTAGTTAGCTGATGCAAGTTAGCCAAGGCAGGAAAGGCAGCAAAATAAGTTAACATGCCGGGAGTGTTGAGCCACTTTGACAAGCTACAAATGTTGTGCGGGGCATAACAGCCACGGCTCCACATATCAGCCGCAACAGCAGAAAAAGCAGCAGCAACATAGAGCATATACAGCATGCCTGTCATGAGGAAAGCGAAGGAAAAGCGGGTGGGAAAGCGAGGAAAAAGCGGGTGGGGAAAGCGGGAAAACTTTTTAAAAGTCATATTCCCTGCGCACCGCTCTCAAAGTGGTTTGAACTTTAGAAACAATTTTGATAAAGATGCAGCGGGCAAACTTAGGGCCAAGGCAAGGCACAGGAATAGGGGAAATTCCCCAGCCAGCATGGCAAAGATGCACCCGGAGATTTCTCGCAGTGCATTGCTCTCGGCCCCAGACAAATGCATGAGTGTGTGTGTGAATACTCACATGTGTGTGCTGGTCATGTATGTAATTAGAAGTTTCGCTGCAGCAGCAGCACAACAAAATCAAGAAAACGAAGAAAATGAAAAGTTTTGCAACCTTCGGTTCGTTTTGCTCTTTCGGCCC